TCTCTTTGCAAGTGCTTTCATTTCTTTCGCAATTGGGTGGCATTGTCTTTCATTGTAAATTTGCACTTTGGGAATGACCAGGATCGTAACACTTCTTGCAAATTCGTTTACCGTTGTGTGGGACTCGCAAAAGGCAGGGGGAAGGCTAGTTACCACACCCCGCCTAAAAAAGAAAACTGGAATGAGGCTCAATGAGCCCTATTTTCATGATCCGTGATTTTGAAATTTTGGGGGGAGGAGCCTCCTGAATTAAAAATTTGGCAGCCCTTGCCCCCAAAAAAAAATTGGGCCAAGGGCGCGGACAGTTTCTGAACTCGCACAGCGAGTTGAACATTTTTGTCGGGGTGGGTGCTGTAGGAAATTATGAAACCACTACGGTTTTTTTTTTTTTTCGGACCTTAATTTTTCCGATGCGCATGCACGTGCGCAAATCCGCCCACCGAGGTGCGCCACAACTATGGTTCCTTGTGCTTCACATCACCATGGTCGACTACCTGATGTTTGCCTTCTTGACCCTATCTGTGCTATGGGGTCCTCTATGAGATCCAGTAGGAGTACAAAGCCATATATTGCTGGAGAACAGGCAGAAAATGAGAAGAGGTTGGCCGAAAAGAAAAAGGATAAGGAGGATAAAAAAAAGAAAAAAGGAGGAGGAAGTGAAAGAAAAATTGGAGCAAAAGAGAATGAAGATGGACGAAAAGACCCGGTCAGACACATGCAAAACCACCTTTCTCCCACCTTCCCCCAATTCATCCCTTAGTCTGCTTTCAGTCAGAATAAAAAGAAACTGAATTTCATGCATGTATTCCTTCCAATTAATCTCATTCAGTTCAAAAAAGAAATCACGCTCATAAAGAAACACAGACATATCTCTCAGACAAAACTAGAGAGATGTAATAATAGAGGTATAGTAGGTTCACACAAGCAAAAGAAGGTATAACTGATTATTCTCTGCCTCCAGAATCTCGCCTAGACTCCGGCAGAGCTCCCACAATCGGTGGGGCGAACCCCCCACAGAGGCCTTAGCACGGATTACGGGTTTCAATCCCGCCTGCTGCCTTCCTCTTTGGCCCAAATAGTCTAGATTGAGAGTAAGAAGGGCAGAAGAAGAGATGTCTAGTCGCTCAGATACGAGAGAGATGCATTCAGACTCGCGTGGGAGGGCCTTGAAACCTTGAAACAAGGACGGTCGAACTACAACCAAACAAAGAGTAATGGCCTCTGGCGATCTTCCAAGTTGCAGCAGTATATCCCCTTGGCAGAGCCTGACTACTCCTCTAAGCCGTACCGTTGTTATCTTTTGTCAAAACGCTGCTTCGTAGCCTTTGCATGCAACGTTTGAATAGAGCACACCCCTCTATACTCTATCAGAAAAGCGGTTGCGACACAATCAGCTCAGCAAAACAGAAGTGCTCACAGTAGCAAGGCATGACAGAACACAATGCCTCATAGCAAGGCATGCGCAACAACAGAACACAAGGGTAAACCCAACCGCAAGGCTCAGCAAACATACAGCGTGACACGACAATGCGCAATTAGCAGCATCAGGCAGCATGCAGCAATACACTGCGTCCGTGCACAACAAATGAAATGGTGTCACGCAAAGATCATCGTGCTGCGTAGCAAGTGTACAACGGAATGCATAGACAAACGCAATCCAACAAGTATGAGTGCATATGCTGAACACAGAAGGAGAGTCAAAGCCACAAACTCAGCCGTCAACGAAAGTGTATACTTGCCACCACCACAGTAAACGAAGGCCTTCTTCCGCTGTGGTTGTGAAGAATGGTAGATTGGAACAGCGAGAATCTCGTTTATCCCTTTATGCCTGCCCTTAATTAGCTAACGAGCTCTAGAGAGTCATAGTTATTCTCGTCGTTTACCCACACTTAGTTGAATCTCTTTACTTTGAAATTCAGAGTGCTAGGTAGAATCTCATGGCGCCAACATCCATTGGGACCATCACAGTGCTTTGCTTTTAATTAAACAGTCGGATTCCCCTTGTCCGCCTCAATTCCGAGTCAGCAGTTTGACGCACAGGGCGCCCACACACTTCCCATCCGCAGTTTGACGCATAGGGCGCCCACACACTTCCCATGACGGACCATAAGAAGCAACCAGACTCGTCTTCTTCGTTACTCAGCATGCATGAAAACAGATGGCAATCACACTGGCGCCTGTGCGCCCACACACTTCCCATCCGCTACTGTATCCACGGCAACTGTTCACACGCGTCCCACATTCACACACACAACCTTCACGCAACACTCTCCCACCTACACGCTACAGCCTACCTCTAACCTAGGGCAGCTATGGCTGTCTTCTACCTTCCTAGCTACTAGCGGCTATGGCCGCTTCGTCCTCTCCACAACCCACTTCTCCTTCGGGCACCTGTAGACCTCCTTGCACAAGACGATCAGGCAGCGCTTGCTCACGATTCCCAGGCAGAATGAATGTTGGACGCTGCCTCTTGATTTATACTTCGGATGCTCGCTGGTCTTCTCCTTTCCACCGGGCCCAGGGTGCACACAGTCCCACATGGTACTCGCTGACTGGACACAGTGCGACTGGGACTGGGTACCGCTGACTAGGCGAGGTTGGACTGCCCACTTGCCGCTGGACTGACCCTTAGGACTTGGTGAAAGGTCACTTCCGGACCTTCTGGAAGTCTGTGGACTTGACCTTTCGGGACTGTAGCAGCTACGACTCCTATTCAGTTAGGACCTCTACTCGACAGACCTACGGATCGAGACCCGATGACCACACTAGGCTACAACAGACAAACGAGCGACTACCAAGACTGCAATAACCCATGCCGTATGCCTCGTGGAAAGTCTGAGGGCTCCCAGGCCGCACTCAGACCCAGGCCGAAGGGGAAAACGAACCCCACGTAAAGATTCAGGGCGTGGACGCGATACAGTTGACTAAAGTCAACAGTCGGAGACCCAACAGTCAAAGTCAAAGTGTACCCAGCCCAGGCCACCGGTCAGACGCACACACTTGTTTGTATGCAGGTACCCAGACAGCAACAGGTCCAAGGGGAAGTCTGCAACTGTGCACAATCCAGGCCCTCGGCTGTGACTCAATTTGTACGACTGTGGGTGAGGGACCTGAGACCAAATAGCCTCGTCAAATGCTACAAAAGGACTGGTCTCCAGGAGGTCGACATTCAGTCTTGCTATGCTGCTTGGACGCTGGCATGACGTTGGCGAGATGCTGGTTCGACGCTGGCTGTGCGTAGGCACTGTGGACGACGATGCGGGACTGTGGCAGCATGCTGGCACTTTCTGTTCTGTGCGCCAGGCATTGCTGACGTGGCGCTGCCACCTGTCTACCCTGCCAATGTGGCGCATGGCACTGGTCTACATTGCTGATGTGGCACGTGCCACTGGTCTACATTGCTGATGTGGCACATGCCACTGGTCTACATTGCTGATGTGGCGCATGCCACTTGTCTACATTGCTGATGTGGCGTTGCCACCTGTCTTCATGCGGATGTGGCGCATGCCACCTGTCTCTACAACTGATGTGGCATTGGCCACGCCGTCTGCATGAGGTGACTGGTTGCGACAAGGAGGGAGATTGGGATCTGTGGATGATTGAGGAACGGGATACTTACCTCAGGCTAACGTCGATATTGTGCGATGCCGGTTGTCTTCATTGTCTCCTTGAGAGAGAAGTGCCACGTGACACTTCTGTGTGACCGGGACTTATCAGACTTGTTACTGTTTATTGATTGATGATGTGGAGGGAGAGGAAGCCCGGAGAAGAAGTGGGATTGGTTGGGTTACTATTATTGATCTTTGACTACCTCTTCCACCTTCTCCCTTGTCTATTCTCCCTCCAATCTCTTCGTGTATTGGTAACGAGATACTGTTGCAGATATCATTTTCACGTTAACTGGAGACTTTGTACAGACCTGAGACTACTGGAACTTCGACGTCTGATGAGTATCTTCCTGACCGGGTTCATTGCAAAGACAAAGGTCGCGGGTTCAAACACACAGGGGTCGATTGGTACTGTACACGGGTGAGGCGAGGTCTAGGGATCGAGCCCTGGGATCTGCATCTGCCACTGTAAAGGTAAAAACCGTTTTAAAGAGAAGCAGCTATGCTTCAAATGCAACTTGCGCACGAACCAGACATGCACAATAACACATCACAAACGAACACATAAGGCGGGGAGAAGGCAAGGGGAGGCAACAAGGTGCTGGATGACAAGTGGCAGCAACGCACGTGGACTGGAAGGCACGGGGGAGATGGGTGGGCAGACAAACAGCACAAGGCAGCTTCTTTAGAGAAGGTTTCCAGGCAAACAATCTGGGAGTAGACATACTGGGTGAAATAGAGGGAGACTGAATTAATTTCAACAAGGACTGTATTGTAGCAACTCGAAGCAGACGTTTAGCAGCAAACCATCATGTCTTGGAACAAACACCGGCCAACTTTACAGAGAGTGAGGAAGGTGATGAGCAGAGAGAGCAGTTTAACAACAGCGACATAACAACAAAAGGGTAAGTGGAAAGCACCCATAACCCATTTAAGCCTTTCCTATCAGTGATCAGCCTACTAAAAAAAGTGCCAATTCTTCTCACAGCCACCAGCTTGAGATTTCCTAAGTTTCTTTTACACCTCACATCCACAGGTCAAAATTTAACCCTCAGCCGTCTCTTCAAAGAGACCCGTCACAGTAACTCCAAAGCTTCTCTCTTATCCGGCATCCAAGAATGCTGAGAGGAATTTTGAGTAGCTGATTAGAGAGAGGTTTTAGGCGCATCAGAGAACTATCCATCACAGAGTTTAGTGGTGGTACTTCCTTCATGTAATAAGAAGCAATCAATGGAGCTGTCTCACATTCTCAAGACCATAACGAGAAGAAGCATTGAGTGGGTTTATCTTGTATGGGACACTGGACACAATTTCCGGTTTGTAATGCTAGTTGTTTTTCTTTTTTTTTCTCCCAAAGATGAATAGTGGCTGAGGTCGAATGGAAACACCTACCGTATCCAGCACGTAGACATGCACACCAGTTCCATCTCCCCACCATTCATATTTCTTATCCAGACGAGGCGCTGCACCAGACTGGTCAATCCGGTCAAGACCCCACGGCAAGTCATCCCCTGTCTGAATGCCGAACCGAGCTACGTCGTCATCACTTGTCCAAACTTTTGCCGTCTTCTCCACGTGTTGAATGTCATAACGAAACTTTTTCATCAGTGGTTTCAAGTTCTTCCCGGCAATTTTCATTGTCATCCCCTTCAAAACAGACTTGAACTTACGACTGCAAACACACACAAGACACAAACACCACACATGCACACCCACAGAAATGCAGGGAAGTAGAGATCAACAAACAAAGCCGGGGGGAAGGGACTCCAGGCGAGGACAAGAAAAGGGAGAGAGCGAGACAGAACAAGACACACTCAGATGAATGGAATGCAACAATAGAACCTGTCTAGAGGTCAGTTTCTCCCACTCCCTCCGTTTTGCAGTCGTAATGTTGACATACATGGAGCAACAGCACACAGGCTGGAATGCAGTTGCCAGACAATGAGTGCAGAATCCGTTCATAGGTTTCCCTGTGCTTGCTGTCAGTGCTCCGCTGGCTGAACTTCCCAACTGTTTGGAGCTCCGATCACGGGCAAGTGTACCTAGGTTTTATGACACACCTCTGAATGGTCATCACCAATCAAGACCTGTTGGATATGATGACGTCAAGAGCCGTCAGCCTCGACCATGGTCGGAGAGAAAACCAAGCAGTGCACATTGTCTGTCGAGCACACCACCATCTGATTGTCAATGGCAACTTAGGTTTTGTACAGCATTGTGGACATGAGGACACAAAGAAAGGAGATCAAATCATCAAAATCAATTCATTTATAAAAGAATGTCGTCAGAGCGGCTGACAGAGAAGTCGACACAACAGCATCCATTGTCATGAGGCTTTGCTTCACGCTGCCTGGTTGTACGATCAAACTACGGCTTCCTCTTAGGACTGCCCTGGTTACGAGAGCTCTGCCTTTTCTTCCTTGGTCCATTGGATTCACGATCCAACAGCTACAAGTTCCTGCAGAGGTTGGACACTCCAAGCTGTCCCGGGGGTAGTGGCAGCCAACTAAACATAGGCTGGCAACCAAGCAAGTGGGCTAAACTCTACCCGTGTTGGAAGATTTGAAGCAAGAAGGCAGCAAAACGATAGCACACCTGCATCTTCTGGATCATCCTGGAGTTCAACAGCCTGCTATGGACACCCTGAGTTTGACCAAAAAGAAAGGGAGAAAAAAAGACTAACCAAGCAAGAATACAAGGAGATTTGATCTGCACGCTCTCAGGTGACGAATCCACAATCTCCTCTCAAAGACCCCTTGAAACACACAACATTCCAGTAGCTGATTGATCTGAACGGCATTCCACGATGCAGACCCCAAATTCGAATTTCAGGGTCAAAGTCTCAGGCCAAGGGAGGCCAAGTCGGCCGTTCAGAAAAGTCACAGTCGGGTACCTTAGGAGTCAAGTCCAACAGGCACTCGGTGAACAGTCACGTCACAGAGTCAAAGGTTGCATTCTGTAGGCAAAAGTCACGTCTCATATTGAAAAGTCATATCCCACAGGCAAAGGACACTTCTCCATGCAAAAGTCGTGCCCCAGTGGCAAGAGTCACATCCCACAGTCAAAAGTCATGTTCCACAGGCGAAAAGTCGTGACTCACAGAGCCAAGCAGCAGCACACCAATGAAAATTCGGGAAAGTACCAGGCCTTATCATTCTGAAGCAAGCAGGCTGTGGGCATGTGGTACCAGGTCCAAGTCAAGCCTAAGGAAGCAGAGGCTGGGACAAGTTTACGCTCAGTCCAAGTCAATACAAGGACTGGTCAGCCACATTTCAAGCAAATGGCTCATTCGTGAGACGGGTGGAAGCGATGCTGAAGCGCTTGTGCGCTATCTGCGACGACCATGCGCGAGAGCCCTGCTTGGCAGCGACGTGCTGAGAGGGAAGGTGGCCATAGCCGCATAGCTAGTGATAGGAGATAGAGCTGAGTAGCAGCGGATGTATTCAGAGTCAAGATCCTCAAGTAGAGAGTGAGAGGGAGATAGAGTAGAGGGAGAGAGTGAGCACATGCATGAAGAAGACAGAGGAACAGAGAGAGAGAAGAGTCACCTACCTTAGATAAAGATGCTGGAATTGGGTTGCTGAACTCTGCGTTGTTAAGCGCCTGGTGGCTGGAACTCCGAAACTGTTTAATTTGATAATTTGTTGGAATCTCTAAGCTCCGCTATTCTGGACTTTGCATCTCTGGTCTCCAGTTTGAACTTCGTGTGATCTCTCATGTGTGTGTGTGTGTGTGTGTGTGTGTGTGTGTGTGTGTGTGTGTGTGTGTGTGTGTGTGTGTGTGTGTGTGTGTGTGTGTGTGTGTGTGCTCAAGGTGACGAGCAGTGAGGCTCAATGCAATTGGTATCAGAGCAGATACTCGCTGCATCCGCTGGTGATGAACGCTGACATGATTAAGGCCGGCGAGAAGAGGGTGGGAGTTTGACATAGGGGCTGGAGGCCGAAGAAGAAGTGGCCAGTTTGCGGGCTGGTGATTACCTACCTGTATGTGAGGAGCGTCGAGGAGCTTCATCGAAGGAACGTTCACAAGTGAAGTGCATCGCCCCCGTAAGCCCTGCATTTGCTTTGATGAATGAATGAGGTTCATGGTACCTTCCCACATCTTGGTGTCGCTGCTGTTGGACAAGAACACTTGATGATATATTTGATTTTGTCTTGAGTCAGCATCTGGTCAGACACACAAGTATGAAGTATGTTGTGTCTAGGCTAGAATCTCGACAGCTGGATGTATCACCCGGAAGTAGGAAGCACGGGCATGAGCAGCAAGCGCTCGTAAAACAAGTCGTCTAACACTAAGACCAGTACTGACCGGCTTGCAACAGAACTGGTGCTTACGCAGTGAGGAGCTATAAGTCTTGAGAGTGAACCTGCAGGTCCTGGTGGGCACTACGTCATATCTACGTCGTTAAATAATTCCTTAGGTCCTTGTTGGCTGACCTTAAGCTGCTGGTTGCGCACCAGCCTGACACAGTAGTTGTAGTCACACTGTGGGGAGGAAGAACTCAGGTAGGTCAGACTCCAATCTAGATTAGATAGTTTAGGTGTTGAGGGTGAGATCTATGTGGTGAGGAGGTGGAGGCCATTTACCCGTGCCTTAGCAACCATGGATGACTACCCGATGTTCGCAATGTTGACCCTGTCTGTGCTATGGGGTCCACTCCTTCCTATTCACTTCAGGATTCCACCAAACATGCGGCATGAGTGTGACCATGAGGTCTGGTGGGACTGCATAGCCATATACAGCAGATCAACAGGCAGAGATTGATAGGAAGTTGGTTGAGGAAAAAAAAAAAAAGGAGGAGAAAAAGAAAAGGAAGGAGGAGGAAGTTAAGAAGAAATTGGAGGAGGAGAAACAAAAGATGGAGAAAAATAAGAAGAGTTGAAGGAGTTAGAAGTTGAAGAAGAAGAGGAAAAAGAATAAGAAGGAGGCATGGTGAGAAAATGAGCCTAACCAGAAGGAGAGGAGGTGGCGGAGAGCAGTCATGTTGCGGAGTTGAGACTCTAGCAGGTTGAGGACTTGGACTGGGTGGGGAAATTCGGGTACCGGACAAAGCTTTTGGAAGAGACTGATGAAGAGAAAGATCGATTTGTGGCGAAGTTGGCATCAACAAAGGATCAACCTGAAAGGAAGTTGCTGATTGAGGAGAAGAAGGGTGAGATGAACCAAAAGTTGTTGGTTGCGAAAATAAAAGAATTTGATGGGAAATAAGGTTGAAGGAGGACGGGGAGAGACTCCGGACGTTGTTGTTGGAGCAGAACGGGAAGCAAGTAGAAACTGAGGGACTCTGGAACCTTCTGACCGACACTTTGTTGCATACCACCCAGGAACTCTCTGCACTTCTACGAGCCTTTGGAAAGGTAGAACGACACCAGGAGGAGTTTGAGGGCATTTGCAACAGCTACCTTAGTGCGTCATCCAGCCAAGTGGAACAGAGGGTGCTACAATATGCATGCTAACCAGATGGTATCTTCACTTAGAAACTAACTAACACCATCGCTGCAGTTAAGATAGGTGGCACTGGCGGGGGTGGAGATGGTGGCGAAGATGAGGATGATGACAAGAAAGGGAAAGGTCCCAAAAAGGATGGAGAAAGAACAGGCGAGGAAGGCAAGTTTGAGGGAGGAGAACGAAGGAAGAAGATGAAGGTAAAACTCCCTTGGAGATACACTGGAAGAAGGAGGAGAGCATTTTCCATTGGCAGGCGGCTTTGGACACGTACCTGTACGCGCAGATAACTTCGTATTGGGACCTCGTACTGATGGCAAGTTCGTGCCTAGGGGGAGTCGTAGCAAGCTTCGCTATTTCGTTAGTGAAAGAAGTCGGATGCACCTCGATGGTGCAATACTCCCAGCGCACTAGAATTGAGGACTTCTTCAAGGGCTTGAAAGACCACTTCAAGGATAAGCTCGTCGTACTAAGTCCCTCATCCTTAACATTACTGACCGTAAGTGGAAGAGTGTGTCAACACTCAAGACCACTATGGACGAGCTGCTGCAATGTCCAGAACATGGACTGACCCCCCCTCAGATTTTGAACAATTTCGCCAGAGCACTGCCAGAACCCCTTAAACCACCAGTACAATGCCCCAACTGTAACGAGCGCGAGGCTGAGGGAGACAGGGAGAGCCGAGGGAGAGGGGAGAGAGAGGGAGAGAGTGAGAGCACACACATACACTCACTCACTCGACACAACTGAGGGTCGGACGCAGACACAATGGCAAGGACACAAAGTCGAAGTCTTGGATTCCGAATGTCGAAAACAGGAGCAAGTCACACTGAGCACGAGTACAGCAGCTGAAACTGGTACGAGACTGGTTGCCCGTACTGTACGGGGAACCGGTATAAGTGTCGGTGACATGTACGGTACCAGGGGCATCTCTGCAAAAGCCCCGAGGGCAGGACTGAAAAATGCGGTATTTGAAAGTGGCACCCGAATTGTAGCATGGCGGCAATTGTCCAAAATCCGACGGTACCAAAGGAGGGGTTTGGAAAAAGGGTGTCAGGCCAAAAACGGGATGTAGCAAGAACAGTAACAAAATAGACCAGGGGTCGAGCCCTGGCGGAGTCCGTAACACTATCCCCTCCCTCTGAAAGGCAACGTCCCGGCTGCCAAAAACCTAAGGAAACAAAAAGGAACTGTGAAGGACGGGACGGGGCCGATCAATGGTCGGAAAAGGAGAAGGGGAGTGATGCAAGTCACAGGGTATTCTGTCAGATGTTATGCACAGGTAAAGGTATGATGTAATTGGGTAGGTCTACAGGGGAAGCTAAGAAATGTTCAGGGAACAGGGGATTTCTATTGATGTTCTACTGGGTAAGGGGAAACAATGTCCACGAAAACAGGGAATTTCTATTGATGTTCTAGTGGGTAAGGGGAACAATGGTCAGGGAAACAGGGAATTTCTATTGATGTTTTAGTGAGTAAGGTAAGCAATGGTTAGGGGAACAAGAATTTTCTAATGATGTTCTACAGGGTTGTCGGGAAAAATGAAAGTGTTTGTTCAGGATGCAGGGGCTGGTATGTCCGACGGAGTGGGAAGCAAAATCTCATGTAGGAACAAAGTGTCCAAGTGTCTTGAAAGGGGATCTGCAGCGGTCTTGATCATTGGAGTAGGTGGTAGAAGCAGTCCTCGGCGGCTGCGACAGGTAGAAGTCCAAGAAGCGTAGCAGTAGTTCAAATGTCCAAAGTCCAAGTGCTAGGGTGCGTCCGATACACGAACTGCATTGAGGTCTGATCTGGAAGCAAGGAAGTCGCAGACTGATGCAAAGATCCATGTCACAAGTTGCTGCTCCAGTAAGTCTGCGAGTCGGGATGCCGACCGATGAAA